GTCGGTATGGTAATAGTCCATGGTGCTCCTTTATTTTGAATGGTGTCCAGCTCTGGTCCCCAACCTCAGAAAGAACATAGCAGAGCTGCAGAAAGGTTCCGAGAGTAGTAATATGATGAAAAGCATAGCATGGCTTTTGTAGCGAGGAGGAATAGGGCTTTTGAGTGTGGAAGAGTGAGGACCGAGGGAAAGACTGAGGAATGAAGTAAAGTCATGAGTGTTACAGAGAAGGTGAACCAGGGTCTGATTACTCACTGTCTCCTCTAATACAAGAAGGTGTTTCTGAAGTTAACAAATGGCAAGTTCAGAGCAGGCAGGCAAACAGGTTTTTCACACATGCATGTTTAAGTTGTGGAACATTTTGTGACTTGTGTGTTGCTGAAGCTAAAACCTTGCTTGGGGTTAAGGTGGGACTAGACAAATTGGTAAGGAAAAGTACATTGGAGTTGATACTTTAGAAAAGAAGCAAAAAAGCCAGTTAGTTCTTTCTGTCTCAGGAAGCTTCCAGGGTGCACCGTTTTTTATGACTGGGAGAATATTCTGCTGAAGTATCAGCATATATGCTGATACTTTATACACTGTGACATTCTGTTAGAGTTCTGTTAATTTCTTCCAGTTAGGGGCAGGTGTCTCTATGAAGAGAAAATCTTACTACTAGTGCTGGAGGCATGATTTTGGTCTAGTTGAATCCTTGGTTTGTCCTGGTGTGACTTCAGTTTTGATATTATCTGTTGAAGTGTATTGACTACTGAAACCACAAGAATAATAAGTGTTTCGGGCAAGGTACCACAGCATCTAGGTGGTGTAGTGTAGGATAGCTGTAGTGAAAGGATGAGCTACTTTCTGGCATTGTGATTTGGTGACCAGTAGGTAACAGAATCCTTTATTTTGGTACTATGTTAATACTATGGTTCTAGCTTATGTCCTAAGCAAAAGTAATATTATCTGTGCATGTTTTCTTTCTAGGTGACTGCTTGTGAAGCTGTGTCAGTCTTTAGAACTTGTGCCATTAAGACTATGAAAGCTGACTTGTGTGTTCATGAATGTCTGCAATTAGGCTGCAACTTCATGTCTGTTAAACTATGTTTTGAAAAAGAGGAGAAATCCCGGTTTATGCTCCCTGTTTGTCTTACTGAAGAACACTAAATCCTTGTAAATACTGTTTCTGTCTGCAGTTGTTACTTACGTCTTAGGGAGGAAAATGTGGGGTGGTGCTGATGAGTGGTTTTATTGTTACTTTAAAGATGAAAGCTTCTGCATCCTAGCAAAAATTAACCTTGCATGTTGACACTGACTGCATTTGTATTCCTAAAATTGAGCATCTCTGTGAGATGGCTTGGTATGTGCATTTGTGTTGACAGCTTTGGCTCGAATGCTTTGGAGCTGTGCTGTGACCCTTAGCTTTGTAATGGTGGCTTTCTGTTATTTGAGACTGACCAGTTCTGCCATCTCAAGGAATTCTAGTAGTCTGTAAATCATCATTTACAGCTTGTCCCAACAGTAATATGTGTAAATTAGTTCTAAGGGTCATTAGTAGTGTTTTCAGTTAACCAGAACAGGGTTTTTTTTTTATGCTGCTTTGATTTTTCTTGCAGACTTTTTGGTAATCTTACTGTCTTGTTCTTGACTAGCTAGCATTTAAATAAGATAACTTCTTAAAAATGGAATTTAAATAGCATATCCCTTCCTGTTCTGAAATGAAGTTTCATGTGAAGATGATGTCCTTTAGTGTGCTTACTACTTGTTTCCTTCCATATCTGGCCAAAGAATCCTCTTAACTACACCTTGCCAGGAATAAAGCTCTTCTCCCAGTATATCATACTTTCAAGCAGAACATTCAGCTCTTACGGTGTTTTGGAGGAGCTGGTATGGTTCCCTTTGTCAAGTTTTTGAGGTTTTTCTTCTTTTTTTTTTTTTTTTTTTTTTTTTTTTTAAATCCTGCAGCTGGTATTCATTCAAGGTAAAACTGCCATGCTTCTCTCCATTTTGCTGCTTTCTGGGAGTTCTAATGGATTTGAGATTGCCGTGTCCTGGTAGTTTGTTGCATCCCTCCTTTTTTTGAGGGCAGTGGATGTTGGCTGGCAAACCTGGAGAGAAGAGCCCCTTGGACAATAACCAGGAGATTCTTGTTTTAGAAAATCATCTCTGTAGTTTTTAGCTTTGTAATATAAGTAGATGAGAGTTTGTTCTTTGCTCATAAAAACAAGCTTGTTAAGTAGACTACTTTCAAAGCTGGCAATTGCTGCTGTATGGTTAGAGGTCTTGAGCCCTTTTTGAGGAGGAGCCTTCAAAGTGTATGTTCACATAAGGACCTTTTCCATTCGTTATTAAATTAGTGCTTAGTTTGGTAGAACAATAAGTTGTTACTGTTAAAACTAAACCTATATATTTTAAGAACTGCCAACAAACCTTTTGAATCAATGTTGAGTTAATATATTGAAATACCTTAGAATGTTGGAGTAGGTGAAAAACCCACATCTGTGGCTGGAGGACGTGGGAGGATTTGGTAAGAGCTTAGATCCTGGAAAAAAGAAAGAGGGTGGATTCAGAACAGAGGAATTTCTGAAGTAGTTAAGGAGTGGCCTTATTAACTTCAGTTAATCAAGGTTATGTGGTAAACAGATGCAGATTGATTAATAGTTCTTAATTGCATATGCAGCTGATAAATTGCTGGGTTGCATTTAGCATACTTGCCTCTTAAGACATCAGGCATCCTAAACTATATTAACATCTTATAAAAATGTATTTCACAGGTTAACTTGCTATAAAATCACTAACTTCAGAGGGATTTCATGGAAATACTGCAGTGTGAATTAAAATAATGAATTACAAGGATTGTTAAGTTTTTGTGGTAGATAATTTTGGAGGAAGGTGCTGGCAAAGTCCAAGCATAATAACACCATTGCCTTCATGTAATTGCTGTACTGTTCTAGCATATATAGAACTGCAGCTGACAGTTTGTGGTTTGTGTCTTTGCAGGCTTGGATGCACGAAGACACTTGTGTTTGTTCCATGGCTTTCATCAGTGTTAAAATAGGTGTTTGTCAGGTGTACTAAAATCTACACACTGTTTTGTCTCGTGTCCCCCCCCTTCCCTGCCCACTCCAATCTAAAACCACATAATCAAGATTTCATGTATGCTCAATAAGATTGACCTTGGGAAGAGCCCATAATTACATAATTATCCTGTCTGGATAACTAACGATCAAACTGGGAGGTTGGCAATCATCTAGAGCCTTGGCTGTGTTTCTCTAATCCTATTTTAGGCTATTTAGATTAAAAGTTTAGTGTGCTGGGAATGTTCTGTTGAGTTAATGAATGAAATACATAGAAGTTTTGTAAGGCTGGTAGCTTGATAATCTAGTAGGCAATATCTGAGAATTTGCATTTATAAAATGAAATCATGAAGTGGTGGAGGGCTTGGTTTACAAGAGTGCTTGAACATCATCTGCTTCTATCAGTTTAATTAATCTGATATTTGAATCAAGTATTCAGATGTCTGTGAAAATCACCCAGTTTTGATTTTGTATGTTCTATTTTTTTTTTTTATGTTTTCAATATTAGTATGATCACACTTACTACCCAGATCTTCAATTTTGTGTCAGGTTTCCCAGGATATTTGTTTCATTTTTTTATTTTTGTGTGTGGTGAGCTATGTTCAGTAGAAGCTTCATTTTCTGTTTGAATAGCACATAGAACTGCTAATCTGTAAGCTCAAACTGTGGTGAAACTAAGAGTTTGTGGCTTAGAAAGGCAAGACAATATGCTGGGGTCCCCAACACAAGAGGGATGTGGACTTGCTTGAGTCCAGAGGAGGCCACGGAGATGGTCAGAGGGCTGGAGCACCTCTCCTATTGAAGACAGGCTGAGGGAGTTCAGCTTCTTCAGCCTGGAGAAGAGAAGGCTCAGGGGAGACCTTATAGCAGCCTTTCAGTCCCTAAAGGAGCCTACAAAAAATCTGGAGAGGGACTTTGTACAAGGGCATGTAGTGATAGGGCAAAAGGGAATGGCTTTTGTCCTGGGTTCAGCTACAGCAGCCATTTTTTTTCTCCTTCTTAGTAGCTGGTACAGTGCAGCTGAGGACAGCTTTAAACTGAAAGAGGGGAAATTTAGACTAGATATTAGAAAGAAATTATTTACTGTGAGGGAAGCCAAGCGCTGGCACAGGTTGCCCAGAGAAGCTGTGGCTGCCCCATCCCTGGCAGTGTTAAAGGCCAGGTTGGACAGGGCTTGGAGCAACTTGGTCTCGTGGGAGGTGGTCCCTGCCCATGGCAGGGGGTTGTAACCAGATGATCTTTAAGGTCCCTTCCAACCCAAACCATTCTGTGATTTTATGAATAATTTAATGGTACTCCTTCCTGCCTTGGTAACTTTTCAGTTACCAGCTGGTCAGTCAGGACCAGTGGAAGCATAGCAGAAATTACTCATCTCATTCCAGTTTTTCTTCCTTGGACAACATATTTTTGTAGCCAAAAGGAATATAATAGATAAACTTACAGTTTCGAGAGTTGTGGAAGCTTTTATTTAGAAAGGAGTCAATGGTCATTTGGTCACACTGCACTTTGTGCGTGAGTTCTCAGTGTGTTATCTATTACTCCTGTCAAAACAAAATGCTGCTGAGTTGTACAGCTGTGTGTTGTATGGATTATTGCTTAATAAATAGGTTTTACATTTTAATGTCTAGTTTAAAAAAGGAACCCTTTAAATAATGATTTCAGTGCAATTGAATCACTAAAGCAAGAGTTTGGCGAATGGTAAGCATGGTTTTGTTTGCATGGAAATAGCTGTGAAATTTGCAGATATACAGGATTCTGGTTTAATCTGAGTGCTAGTATAGCACACTATAAATGTGGAGTTAAGTCAAAGGTTAATAGCTGTCTAATTGTTTTTTGTCTTTTATGGACTAGTTTGTTTTATCTAAAGATTACAATGTTGGTATACCTCTTAGTATTTTCAGACTCTAAAATGAATTAAAATTTTTCTCTTTTTTTTTTTGACAGTCAAGAATCCCCTCAGTGAAGAACTACAAAAAATAGAAGTAAGTAAAAGCACTTCATATTGAGATTTAGGTCTGTCAAATGATTGTCTACAAACAATAGATACCTGTTTCAAAGGATGCAGTTTCAGAATGTTTTGTATAAGATGAACACACTTCTTGTGACTGATGTTTTCACTTTTTATTTTTCATCTTGAGCACTGTAGCTAGGATTACAAAACTTGGCTCTGGCATGCTGGTTGCTTTATCTACTAAGAACATAATTTGTTTGAGAGCTATGAGGAAAATTGTGTTGGAAGTTTGAGATTAAATTTATCAGTTTTTCTCTTACTGTTACCATTTGGCTTCTTGACCTTGAAAGGACAGGTGATAAGAGATGGTTGACTTGAAAGTTGAGGATGTTTACTACCATAGAAGAGCAAGGGTTAGCCTCTTTCAGAAAATGAGTTCAAAAGTTTGTCTTTTGATTCTATTCTGGTACTTGTTCCTATATTCACTCTTCCAACTGGAATGTTGGAATAGCCATTTTGAGATGTCGTCATTGAAGGTATCTGTAGTATTCTTAGTTCTGCAGCATGTGTTTTGGTGGTTCTCTCCTCTGGCCTTTAGTCTTTCTGCCTGGTTTGTAAACCTTTTTGCTAGGCGTATATAAGCAAGTATTGCAAGATAATTGTGTGGGTGTCTTTTGTCTGGGATTGAGCTCTCCAAAAGTGAATAATTGCATATTTTAAGTAGGTAGCCTTGGCTAGTTTCCTGGGTAGAAAATGTTTCTGACTCTTCGGAACAAATTGAATTTTGTGGGGTAAATTCTAAGGGTTCTTTTAAAATGATTTTAGTAGTGCAGAGAGAATGTGTCTTGTGCACTGAACTTGACAGCTTGAGAACCTGCTTTGCATGTTACTTTCTTCTGTGTTTCTTATGTACTGTTCCATAGTGATCCTACTCCGTGCTTGGTTGTTAGTTAGCTGTGAAGGTTGTACTGGTCAGTTCCTTCCTTTGTGGTCTGACCACGAATTGACGAAAAAAAGAATTCGGTCACACAAATGATGCACGTGTCTGTCTCGGGGTAGCTCTTCGTGAAGTCATGGGTGTACCTACTGGCAATAAATGGAACTTCTGGAGTACAGCTGGCACTGGATGTGTGTGGCAGAGGACTGATTTTCCTCTTCTCCCATGCCCAGTATTTTCCAGCTAGGAAATGAGTTACTAAGTTTGGTTAGTTTCCTGGGGAGTACCAAATATATCAATTTAATCTTGATGATAGTTTTGTAGGAGCAGAATAGGGAGAGGTGATGCTTTTAATTGCTGATATCATTATGGGAATTAATTTGTCAAATGTTTAATCAATGAAAGATGTGTTTTGCTCTTTGGTAGCGGTTTTATTATTGGAAAAAATGGCAGCATTCAAACTGACAGACAGTGCAGGTGCATCAGGGAATTAAAATATATTTAGGTTTTTTCCATGTGACTATAACAGCAGATGTGCAAAGTAGAAAATCACTTTTCTTGCATATTTTCAGAATAAAGGCTCTAGTGTTATCTCAGCCATTTGTCTCTGCCCCAGGAGTCACAGCCAACTTAAAAACAAGCCAGTGTTTTAGAATGGCTGTAAATACTTAGTGTATGTAATTGCATGTTCCTCATCTTCATATTTTGAATAATTCCTTCTCATATAAAATGTTTCTGGATAAATTTAAAGGAAATTGCTCAGTATCTTGGTAAGTTTAACTCCTTCAGAAGTAACAATTACGACCTCTTGTATTGATGCTTGTTTTGGGAATTAGGCCTTTGTACACTAGTGGTGTATGCAGGAAGTATCAACAAGATTTGTGTAGTCCACAATTTCCTGTTTTTATTTTTTGGTGGTGGGTTTTTTGTTGTTGTTTTTTGTTTGTTTTAATTAAGTTACTGTAATTTGAAGGTGGACTGCAAAAATGTTACTTTGCTATAAATTTAATGGGGGAATATGGCCAGATGCTACTTCACTGTGGCTTGTAAGAAGTGTCACTGTACATTTATTAAGAATGAAATTGTTTTACATAGTAGCTATAAACAAAAACACCACCCCACAAATTTCACCAAGTTTCTTTTGGGTCATTGCATAGTTGTCTCAGTAGCATAAAAATAACCTTTTGAGCTGTCCGTTTTAACTATCGGATCCATCGAAGTCCAGCCTACAATCTAGTTTCAGTCAAGATCTGAAAAAACAATTAAAAATCTATTGCGTGAAACACTAAAGCCTTCCAACTGTATGTGTACAACCATTTTTTTTTTTTTTTTACTCATGGCCTATAAAGATTTTGGAGGTAAATGGAAGAAAATAAATCTTTACTAATGTTTGTTTTAATGCTAATGTGTTTTTCTAATTCTAGGAAGATGAAAGAAGTCTCATGATGAACAGCTTATATGTACTTCATGATAAATTGGCACAAGTAGCAGGTAACACTTTAAAAATATTGTGACTAGGAGTGTTATGGCAACAGCTATGAAGAAGTCTTTGCTCAGGTAGTGAGTTGCAACAACTGGTATGTGCTGAGGCCCTGATACCCATTTAGAGTCCCTTTTCGGGAGTCTAGAAATCCCATTTCTAGTTCACTTACACTGCCTTTTCACCAGTGTAGTGCCTTTTGTTGCAGTGTTTTTCAGTTAATAGGATAGGCTGTTTTAATGTTGTGATTCTGTGTGGGTTTTGATCTAATGTCTTAACACTTTATTAATCTGATTTCTATGTATTTCTTTTAAAGGCAGTTATTTCACTATGGTGGAAAACTTGTCTGAAACCCAAAATATTTTACAACAATCAGAAGATGGTTACTAATACGAGGAACAGTAGTGGTTAAACAAGATTGCCTTGTTACACAAAATAGTCCAACTGAACCATACTAATTATATAGTAATGGAAAGTGCCATGAATAGTAATGTGTCAGAGATGGTGTTTAGGATTACTATTAATTATTGTATACGCAAAGTAAAAAACAGTGCTTTTGCCTAGAGTCATAATGAACACAGCTTTAAACTGCGTATTTACTTATCACAATCAGGAAATGGTAAAGTTAAGACTTTATAACGTTGGCATTTGGCGAGTGTCAGTTACAGCAGAATCTGTTTCATGACTATTAAGCCATTTATTTATCTATCATCCTTGCTTATTTAATACGTAATGCGTTTAGGAGGCAGTGGTTCAGATTTCCTTGGGTTTTTTAAGCTTTACTGTTCTTTGTGCCAGCTATTTGTTTTGTAACAGCAAGTTCCACCAAGAAGACTTTTTTTCAGTATTATCAGGTGCTACAGATGTTTCTCAAACATGAAAATATGTGGAAGCAACTCTGTATCAGTTACAAGGCTGACAGCTTAAGTCAGGGCTATAGTAAATCTGTGAGAAATTTGAACCACTCTGTAATAACCTTTAAATTTCAAGAGTAATCTTCCTGCAGAAGCTTTTTGTTTTCAGAGCATTTACAATACCTGCAGTGAATAATAAAGGTGTTTGAACAAAGCTGATGAATTTCTTCTTGTTTATGTTACTCTTTAACCCAAAATAGTGAAAGAATGTTTAACCTGAGTGCATGCAAAATAATAATAGTCTTTGTTAGATCCTTTCACAGGTCGATTGCACCTTGATATATTTTTGTCAGTTTCAAACTATTTCATACTTAAGAGATGGTAGCAGATAATTCTGTGCAATAAATCACTGGGGCTATAAGATTTTTTTTTTCATATGGGCTAGCCAGTCTGAGGTGTGTAGGAGTGTCTTACCAGGCCCACAGCTGTACGCAGTAGAGCATTGACTTGTAGTAGTGCTTGGTTATGCTACTTCTCTCCCTCTTTTGAAAAGAAAAGCTAACAGCTTGCTGTTCCCTCTATGTGTATCTGGCCCTCCAGTGGCCATACAGTAAACAGTGTACTTGCCTGGATAAAAAGGTTTGGCACCTCATTTCCACACCTGTAAAGGACAGGGAGTTTACTTATGTGCATGTACACTTAAAAAAATTTTTGCCTATCTGCCTTATGAGAGGAATTGATATGCTCCAAGATGTCAGCATTCTTCCCTGGATCTCAAAGGTGCATTAATCTCTATTAGCCTGTTCCTGCCCAGGAGAATCTTCAGTACTTAGTTTCAGAAAAATATAGCTATCCTTTCTGGTTAGATGATCCCCCAAACTGAAGCTGTGTTGCAAGATAACCTGGTTGCTCAGCAGAGTAGCTTTCATACAGTCTGAAGAATGACTTAATTCATCTGTATTTAAACAGAAGTTGTCCTCAACGCCAAGTTTCTTAAGGTATCAGAGGAAGAAGTCTGCCGTCCGTTTTTGAATACCATTTGATGTAGATCTGGCAGAATATCTAGAAGCTGTTTAAAAGCAATAGAATAGATAAGGCTGCTATAGAGATGGAGGGTATGAAAGTGTTGATCTTGTACACAGTGCACCACTTCAAAAGAGAGAGAAGTAAAAGAATATAGTTTTACTAAAAGTAGTGCTTTTCAGATCTGTCGCATACTTGGAAAAGTTTCTCTCATTTCATACTTGGCTATGAATCATTTGTTCATGTTATAACTATTAATATTAAAAAGGCAGGCTGGAAACTTGCAATAGTCTGTTCTTTTAAGCTTTATTCAACATCTTGACTACCATCAAGATGGTCCTGTCAGAATTTGGTTTCTAGCCCTCTTTGTTTTATTAGAATTACATTTTTACTGAGCTAGCTTCTTGCCTTTTCAAATTCAATTGGAGAGCAATTGATAGGGCTTTCATTTTAGAAGGTAAACCACTGAAAGTTGTTTGAAGGAAGAAAGTTGAGCTAACAGTTTGCTAATTTTATTTGACTTAATATACTGTGTTCCAACTGTAGATGCCTATTCTGTACTGTGGTGCCCTTATGTGACGTAAAATGATTTAACTATCCTATATAAAAATAAATTGCCTTTAATGCATTGCTGTTCTCAGAATTACTAGTCTGCCAAACCTATGGTGAATAATGCCTGCCTCATAAGATACTGGAAGGGGAAGCAGTATCTACTTGTCCAGTTCTGAGCTGGTTTGTGTTCCTGTGTTCTTGGCTGATGGTTTAGCCTTTCTTCAAAGCAGCAACCTTTTATAGGCAGTATATATTTCAGTCCCTTACACTTCCTCCTAAACCAAAATATGTGCTTTATTTAAATTAGACTTCATGCAGGCATATATTAATTGATGTCTTGGTCTTTCATGGAGAGGCTTTAATAGGTCATATCCATTTTCAGTCAGGCTTGCAAAATGAATAAACCTAACCTCTATATCCATAAGAAGCAGCTACCCATGGGTATGACTACTTTCTTCTACATGAAGAATTTTTATTTAGTTAGATGTTTCTTTTGCTTGGCATTCTCCACAGAGGATGATCTGTCAGATTTACACGGGTTCCTTGTGAGCTGATGGCCAGCACAGGTCCTTGAGATGCACAAGTGAATTAGATTTCCATGTGTAGTAAGGCTTACTGATAAATCCATGGCTGGAAAAAAATCCTGGCAAAACACTTCGCTATTACTAATACTAATTTCAAGTGTCATCTGCTGTATGTCATTGCTGTCACAGGCTCTCTGTTCTGTCACTCTTCTTAATCTTTAGTTCTTCAGGTAACTGATATTATGCTGTTGCCAAGCAGTGATTTAAAGACTGTTTAGCAAGTTCTGTTTTTTTTCAGCATTATTAAACTTGTTGAATTTGCCTTTGGGACACCAGACAGTCTTACTTGCTCTCACAACACTTGTTCTGCTCCTGCTTTTCTTCACATACTCACTTTAGTGTCCTGCTGCAAGTAACCTGTAAGCATGAGACGTGCTAAACAAATGTTTTCTACGCTGTTTGCTTTTTGTATTGGTTAATAGTATTACATCAAGCTGTATGCTAGAGATCTGTGCTAAATCCATGTGTTCCTTAAGAACTAGCATTCCACTGGGTTTTGGTTCTGGTACCAAATGAGAGGATTATTTACATTGTAAAGCAAATATTTAAAAGTCTGAATATTTCTGTTAACTGTATCGGCTGCAGCTCATAAATTAAGCTAAATGTCCAAATAATTCAGTTACTCTAGTCTGCATGGAAAAGCATATCTGGCTTATTTTCTGTATTGAAAGCAATTGTGAGAACAGACTGAAATATTTCTTTAGAACTGAGCCTTTAGTTGCTTTTTGTTAGTATTTCTAGGAGAAGATCTTGACTTCTTAATGTGGCTTGCCCAAGTACACTAACATAAGCCAAAAATTAATTTTGTGGTCCTTGCTGGGATGTGTTACTTCTCACCTCCCTACAAAGGCAAGTAGAACGGTTTTCTGATTTTACTTAAAGTCATCTCTGCACGAGAAAAGTTTGAGCGCAAAGAGCCATGCTTTCTACAAGCCTGCAATAAGACATTTTGAAAGGGGTGTGTTTTTCACAAAGACAGACATATCTTGCAAGCAGACCTGTGTAAAATTTTTTTTGCCTCTGCTTCAGTTTTATTCCTGGATATAGGGCCTCAAATGGAACAGTTGGGAAACATTTTTGGCTCAGAGTATGGAAAGTCGGTTTCCAGGCCAAGTGGTTAATGATTGCACCAAAGTTATTCAAAGTAAGCCTTCATTTGCAGAACTATTAGCTAAAGCAGTGACTGAAATGGCATATAAGAATATCCTGCTGTTTGCAGTAAACCAGAAGGTTGTCTCACTTGTGAATTGCCTGACTTTCTGCAGGCTTTCAAATTCATGAGTTTCTCAGAAGAAAACTGTTAAGTGGTTCTCAGCAATAGATGGGTTGGAATGAGAAACTGCACCTCCAACTGCTTTTCATACAGGACTGAAACTGCGTAACTGTTGATTTTAACTTACTGGTTTAAAGAGTGGGAGGCAAGATGGAAGTGATTTTTATTCCCACCCCCTCCAACTCCCCCCAGCATTGCATGAGGGTAATTTGAACTTGGACGCTGTCAGAGCCTAGGCAGCAAAGGCATTTGTTGAATTTGTTCGGAGGGAATACAGTCTGAAGAAAGAGATTCAGAAGCAGGACTGCGAGGAAGCTGTCTGCTGGGTTTGAGGATGAGACCAGAAGCTGTGAAGTCAGTGTGTTGGCTGCATACTACATAAATGTAATTCCTGGAAGAAGGCAAATAAAATTAGAATTTAAAACTACTGAAGTAATCCAGTAGTGCCCCATCTCGGGGAGTTTTTGTACTTTTCTAAGAGGTAATAGTAATACTGTGTTCTCGAAAGATTGAACATCCAAACTGAATCCTGGAAGTTGTTTTTAAGAATCAGTTTTTCACAATCTGGCCTCCTGCTTGTGTGGTTTTTTTTGGTTTTATTTTCTGTTATGACCTCATCCTTTCTATTCTTTCTTATTTATTTCATAAATGGGCTTTCCAAACAAACAAAAGCCCCTAAGCAGAAGATCTCACCCCTCTGCTCTCACAAGCTGTTTTGTTTAGTGAAATGATGATTGACACCTTCTGTGTTAAAAGGAGCCAGGAAGACTTCAGGTCTTGCTGAACAAGAGGAGGAAAAAAAAAAAGCTTAAATGGATGAATACCTGTCAGACATGCTCATGTCATATGGCTGAATATCTGATGGAGGTTGTACATATGGGTTCTACAGAGAGATATTTCGTCTCCATTGCATTTATTCCATCAGTTCTAGATTTAAATCAGTATGTTTTCAGCAGAGACTATATGAGTATGATACGTAGTTAACGCAAGTCTGCTAATCTTGAAACATGAAATCGCTGATGATTACACATGTAAATTTATAGGTTGTAGAGTTTATGCTGCACAAAAAATGCCTGCCTAAATCACATACAAGAATAGCCCTTAACTCCAGTTCTGGTGCTGACTTCTGAATTTAGAGTGGGGTGGGGTTTTTTTTGTTTTTTTTGTGGTTTTTTTTTACAAAGGTAGTGTCAATTTTTACTAGTGGCCTCTAGTTTTGCCATTAGATAGACTGAGGCGCTTCAAAAGTCTAAAATGTTGCATTTTAATTAGCAAGTGAGACAACTTTTAAAGTAGTGTCTTTTCTGCTCAGTGCTTGATTGAAAATTCGGGCATGCACGCAGGCTTGGTTCCAGCAGCACTTCTAGGCCAAATAGCGTATGAGCACTCTTAAAAACAGTGCTCCTATTTCTCTATAACCCAGCAGTAAGAGAAAAGCATCCCTGTTATGATGTGCTTGCAAGGCCAAATTCACTTAAATGTGTTCAAGTGTATTGAACAAGCTTTGCTTTAGCAGTCTAAAAAAGACTTTCATAGAAACACTTATTTCTTTGGAGCTTCCTACTGTGAATGAGACATGAAGATGCTTCTCCATAACTTGCTAGTGTTTCCTGATTGCTCAGATTGCCTCAAGTGTACTTGTTTGTGTAGGGATTGCTTCATTTAAAGGGTATTCTAGTGTGGAGTAATTCTGATTTTAAATACTTTGAGTATAAGCAAAGGTTTTTATTTTGTATATGTATGAGTATCTTAAACTTTCCTAGCCTTGCTATGGCTTTGTGAATAATACATTTGGCACAGATTTGGGAAGGTAGGGCAGGCATAACCCTAGGTCAATGAAAGACTGGATTTGTTGTTTCCTGTTTTATTGCCACAGTAAAATCATAGTTACAGATTGTCACTGCATATTTTTTGCATGAATCGGGTACCTTCAGTTCAGCAAAGAAAATCGGGAAGATGGTACATGGCTGTGAGGACTGACTGTGCATTTAATACTTTATTTCCTGACTACTTCTGCATACTTTCCAAAAGAATTAGGAGGATGGTAAAAGCATCAGTTTTGGGCCATATTGGGATTTTGTGCATGTTCAGGAAGGTGATGAGTTCTTGGTAACTTGGACCAATCTAAAATGTAGTAACTTCATAGTGACTGAAATGCTACTATGGGTGTGTTTCAACTGGGACTAACTTGGTCTATATAAAAGATAATAAATGTTTCAGAGTAAATGAAAATTATCTGGAAGAAGTTGAGTCAGGGTACAGCAACTGTTTTATGGTAACATCCTTTTGATAGTTCTTCATACTACCTTTTGTTCTACTTTGCGTGTAAATACTAAATTACACTTTCTGAGTAGTACATGATGTTGTATTGATGTGATTTGTGCATATTATTAGGTGTAGCAATCTCCACATTTTTTAACTTCTGAAGGAGAAATTTGTCCAGAGATTTTTCCGTATTTTTAGTGGAACTTACAGGAATTATTGAGCTACTGCTGCTTGTCTAGATTGTTAACTGTAAGCTTGTGTTTAGGTGATGTTATTTCATGTATTGCAGTAGTAAGTAGATGAAAGTGAACAAAAATTTCTTTTTACCAGGGGAACATGAATGTGGCAGCTCTATTCAAAGAAATCTTACCGTCCAGGAGGCAGCTGCATATTTAAAAGTAAGCAAATGAGGTATTTTTTTCATTGGTTGCATGTAAGAATTGTGTAAGTTTTTCAATTTTTAAGGCCTGGCTTCATATCTAATGTAGTGACTAAAATTTTACTTAGTATTGCATGTTATTTGGAAATGTTTGGAATTGATGTCTTTAATGCTTGCAGCTTTTATTTGGGGATGTAGCAAGGTTTTGGGGGACAGGAAAGGTGAAAGAAATTCTTAATTGCAGTGAAAGTGTAGACAGTAGTGCTTCACTCGTGTGCAGTTTTTTTCCCTTTAGTTAAACACCAGAGCATAATTTGGATTGATGGAGATTGTTGACCAACATGAAAATAACAGATTTATGAAATTCAAATCTCTAGAAGCTTATTTAGAAATCAGTATGCTATGTTTTGCCATTTAGTAGAAAAGGATACTGTCTTCCTTTCTGTGGGAGAAGTGGGTGCATTGATCTATGCAGTGGGTGTGATAGGCAGCAGTTGTATGGAGACACCATTCATTGATGCTTTAAATAGAAATGGTCAAAAAAAGGCCTTTTTGTTAATTTGATAGGTGTGCAGTATTATGAAATCCCACTGTCTGGTGTCATTCCCTTGCCTCACTCCCCAAATAAAACATGACTCTTGCCTTGTCATGACAGCTGTAGGGTTTATTTTAACCCACATTGGTGTACCCTTCAGTGGAAAACTACTTGAAGCTTTTAAAAGGCTGAGAGTGCAAGATCTCTTTGATTGCATTGGGGCGGGGGGGACACACAGAATAAGTTGATGTGACTTTTAATGTAAAAATATGTAATTTTTACATTTTGGCAAATGTTTACATAGCAGACAAAAAAGGGGCAATGTTTAGAACTTCCTGAAGCAGCTGTTAACACTGGTTTAGGGTTTGGCAATGATACTTGGTATCTGTTGAAACCAGTGCATCCTGAGGATACACTGGAAGATACTAAGTTGATGCCAGATAACTAATGGTCTATCAGATACCTATCTGTTGTGCTGAAAGCATGACAGTTGTTGTAACAACTGTTTTAGCTCTGATAAGCTCAAATTTCACATGAAAATTTGTCAGGATGTATGAAATCTCATTATGGGGCTATAAATACAACTCCTTTGCAGAGTTTGTGTTTGGTGGCAAAACTTTTGATTTTGAGAGTAAAATAGTAAACAGTTACTCATTTTTAAGTGCTTATTTAATTCTAGGGCAGTTACACTATGTGAGATTCAAAGGGAAAATGCAGATAAAACTTTCTGGAGAGTATAATTCCAAGTACAATAGTAACTTCAATTTTTGCTTTTCCTTTTCTGCAAAAGAGCATGTAAGGCAAACTATGGAGACAGCTGTAGTTCAGCAGCAAATGTTCTCCAACAATAGCTGACGCCTACTAATTTAAAAAGTAGTCCATTTCTATATAGTGATATCAGTTCTTGAGCTACAAAACACTGGACTATTTGCAAAGTAGCAGTTGAATTTTATTTTCCTCAAGCTTCTTAAACAAGCAAAAAGACCTGAACTGCTTTTACAGGACCCATTTTCAGCTGGATTTATATCCAGTCTGAGTTTTACTGGTGAAGTAGACTTTCAGTGAGCACCGCCTAGTGGCTGATTATTTTTTTCTTCCTGCAGGTTAGAATTGTTAATAAATCGTGAATATGGGTTGAATTTTGAAACAGTCTTTAATTTGAGGAATGCTAGTAAGTCTGGTAACTGCTCATACTGTTAGGTAGATTCAATCTGTGTGGTGAACACTTACACAAAGTCTGAAGAATCAAGTACAAAACCACATAGTTTTGGCTACTAATCTGTGTAGTGTCTGAATTTTATTGTGGCATGATAACTATCTGGTTGGTTATTAAATTACTCATACTTGTCTTCTGACAGAATTTAGATCCAGAATATGAAAGTGTACTTAACACAGCATTACAATGGATCTTGAATAGTGGGGAAGATGTTGGCATAAAGTAAGTGGTCTTTGTTTCTGAACTTAATTTCTTCTTAACTTAATACTGAATGTATCCTTTTTCATAAATACTGTATATTTTTTGACTAGGTGTCTCAGCAGTGACCCTAATGAGAGGGATGTCACTAACGTGACAGATGTGAAGTATTTGGAATCCACTAGTCCAAAGATGTCTTTCAGGTGTCGTTTTCGACGTGCATTTGTTAATGTAACTCACAGATTGTCCATATTGCTTTTGGGTAAGTTAATAAATATTTTTTTTTTTTGTTCTGTTACAACTTGTGTTCATGTAAGTACATGGGGAAAAGTAAACAGCATGTTTAAAGAAAGTCTTTATTCAGCCATAAAACTCAGAGTTCCTATCAGTACCTTGGCTGCAGTGCAGTTTGTGCTTCTGTTGTACTACTTTATTTTCACATCGGTTGCTATCATCTGCTGCTGTTGTCAGCTGAATATATTCATGCTTTTGGAACTCTTTTCCCTGCCAAAGCAATACCTTGTGAGTTTCAAAAGCTCCAGGTTGAACTGATCTGAAAAAATGCTCAGTAAAAAGACACGATAGCCTTAATTTTGAGGATATTTCAACGTTGTTCAAGGAATTTTAGAAACAACTACATGAAAGATGATTTTTCCTAGTGTTAGGAAAAGTTGGATACCCAACATGATTGTCACCAAAACTTCTTGTGTCTAAAACTATGTTGTAAAAATGTATCTACTCCTTCAGTAAGACTGACTAATTTAGATTTTGATAGTTAAGTTTCAAATTCTTTCAAGTTTATTTAATTCTTAACCATACTGAAAACTATGCAGCATAAAAATATGATACAGCTGAGTTCAGACACTTCACTCCTTTCCATGTGGCTGGTTAGAAATATTGAAGATGCAGAGTTCATCTCATATACCTGTCAAATATCTTAATAAATTGTTTATCCCAGTATCTTAACAATCTCATGCTTGTGAGCAGAAGACTTGAAACCTCCTTCGCTAGCCTTTTGATGAACCAAAACAATCAGAGGCAAACTGTCCCAGATTGCCATCTTTCTGGTAATAGTCAGTATGAGGGTTGAACAGGGATATGGAGATGAAACTGTATGCAAGTTAACCCCTGGTCTCATCAGTCATGCTGAGCAATTGCTGCCTGTCTCAACTTTCTGAATCTGTAATTGAGGTTAATTTGAAGCACCTGTTAAAAAATAAAGCATAGCATAAAAGTTAAATGTATTGTCATTAGCACCCATGTTGGCCTGAAATGGTGTCCCTCAGTCTCTTTGATATACCGGTTAACATTGCCTTGTGATCACTGGTATGCAAAACAAACTGCATAGCTGTAATTTGTGTACGTGTGTGTTGGGGTTTTTTTTTTATTTTTAAGAGATCCTGAGTGTAGTGTAGACTGTTAAATGAAGAATGTTCTAGTACTGTTTGAAGAGTATTATATATCTTAATGCAGGTGTAGCAATGGTCTGGGGAGTCTTGCACTACATGAAATACCGTTGGGCAAAAGAAGAAGAAGAAACGAGGCAGATGTATGATATGGTGGTAAAAATCATAGGTATGGCTTCTTAAGTCACATCTTACGTATCTGTATCAGCTCTCTATAAACTTTCAAAGTACTGCCATTAACTCCGTTACATTTTCTTCCTGTTTAGTTGTTGCTTATCATGCCGTTAGATTTCTTGCTCAAATGTGTAGTTCATGTTTTAGTTTCTCTTCTTTTCTTTTTTTAATCATCCTTTAAATCTAATAAAATCTTTTGGTATAAAAATTGTAATTTGTGCTTTAATTTGGCTATAATAAACTCCTATTGACTTGGTAGTATTTTATCTTACCATTAAAACCAAGTAAAAATGCCGTAATGGTTGACTAGAAGTATGGTGATATGTTGCTTTTTTAAATCTGTCTTTCAGCTGTCTTTTGGCTAAAATATCCAGTCCTAAAACGTGTGTTATCTCTCAATTAATCCTTAATGGCTTTTCAGAGAAAAAGCAGCTTTTTAATTAGTTACTTTAAGCAGGAATTACTTTTTAAAATAGACTGCATAATTGAGTTCTGAAATCCTGCCTTTCTACTTGAAGCTGTAATATTTGCAGTAGTTTGTGTCTGTAGGGTTTTCTTTTTGTTTTGGGCTGCTTGTTACTTAAATTGTCTTATTACTGTGTTATTAAATTGTCTTACTACTTTCACCTGTGGCAATCATAAATACAGAGATGGTAGACAAATTGGAGCTGTTTTCCTATTTGTACAATTTTTGTACCTTTTTTTTGAGAGTGGAAGGAAGGCACTTTATTTTCAAAGATGGCTGTCTTTGCTAACAGGTAAAAGTACCAGTTGAGTAACTGCAAGAACTCTTTTTCCTTTATTCCAAAGTTATTTGGGGTACTTGGAGGCACTGTGGGTGGTTAGTTTTCTTGATTTGCTTTCACATGGCTAGGAGGAAAAAAGGCTTCAGAATGCCCAAAACAACTACTGAAATTGGGAGGGTCTTCAGAGTAGCTGTTCTTTGCCAGAATTGATATTTTTTTCTTAATATTAGCATGGACTACATAGTTACCAGTTTTTCTTATGGTATCCTCAGATGTTCTAAGAAGTCACAGCGAGGCATGTTCTGAAAATAAAGACTTGCAGCCTTATATGCCTATTTTACACGTGCATGATTCTCTAATACCGCCTCAGGACAGGTATGTTCTCACTAGAAGTACTGAATTTCTCTTCTTCGTAATAGAGAAAAAACAGTAGAAATAAATTGGTTAATTTCAGTAGGTTGCATACTGTAACATTCTGGAGATTCTTATTGACACGAGTATGTGTGGGGAAAACATTGGATTTCTCTTACATGCTCGATGTCCACTATGCAGATTTTTATAATTCTAATTTTGTAATTCTCGCTTTGATTTTTAAGGAGGAAAATGAGGAAAGTCTGGAATAGAGCAGTTGACTTTCTTGCAGCAAACGAATCTAGAGTTCGCACAGAGACAAGAAGAATAGGTGGCGCTGAGTTCTTGGTTTGGAAATGGATGCAACCTTCTGCAGCTTGTGACAAAATCTTAGTTATACCATCGAAAGTGTGGCAAGGCCAAGGTATTGAAGTTTAGCTATATTTTGCAAATATAATTGTAATTTCTGAATCTAACTGGTATTTTGTTGCTTGAACATGAAAGACTTTTGTTCTCACACTTTTAAGTACTGTGAACTGTCAGTGCTATTTCTCTATTATCATCTTGTCCAGTAGACTGTACATTCAGCGTCTGCCTTGTTTTCAAGCAAAATCAGCTTTTCTGTTACAGCTACTGGAGAAATACAGCAGAAGGCATGTAGCCAAAGGGAGCTGCTTGTTCCTCTTAATGAATTACAAAAAAAAAAAAAATACTCTTTAGTTGGTCAAATTCTGTCATGGCTTACACTCACTGGAAGTAATGTTATTGGTTGTATCTGACAGCAGGTAAATTGCAGCTTGTAGACTTGAGTTTCCTACTGTTACCATTGAGGTACCAAAAGACAGAGTTTGGAGGAAGAGATGTTTGTTTATTTGAAAAGGGAAACTGCTGGGACAGATGACTCCTCAGTCAGCAGAATGTGGATTTTTAGCATCTCCTGGTAGTGCTTCCTTTCTCTCAGAAATGGTTTTCTATACTGTGTTTTGTATTTGAAGCTCTGTGGTACAGCAAAGCATTTTCTTTAATGGAAGAGGCTGTTGTCATACATAGATTTTTGCAGTGGATGGAGCCAAGTGGCAAGAACCCAGTGGGTTTGCAGGTGTCGTCTTCAGTGGCCATCTCATTCAGTGGGGTTTTTTGGGTGGTTTTTTGTTTTTTTTTTTTTTTTTGTCAATGAAAAATTGAACCTATAAAACTTCTGGGTTGCAATAAAAAAAGAACAGTCATGTCTATCGGTGTCTTGAGTGTGAAGGTAAATGCTTAATTACCAGTTGTTTAAATGTGGCTCTTTCAAAGGGTCAGTCTTGCCTTATGTTCTTTTATAGTGCTGTATTATCTCTCCAGTAGGACTGAAATAAATGCTGTGCAGAATCCTAGTATGTAAACTCATTGGCTTATTTTGATAGTGAGGTGGGAGAGAGTGTTTGCTTCTCCAGTTTAGTTCAGCTTTAAATTGGATGTTATCAAGGTTGTACCATATGTTATTTCTGTGGCATTGAATGAGATGCTGAAACTAGCCTAGTTAAAACACAAATAGATTTTCTGCCCTTCTTAGTCCTACTTAAACAAAATAAAAATTGCCACTGGCAAGTAATTGCACTCTCATCTATGTTCTTCTGGAGTATTCTAATTTTGGTCTTAGTTCTTAGTGCAAGTAGTAAAAGGCTCCCTTCTTTTGCTTTTTATTGGTATGCATTTTTATTTGTAAGAAACAATGCTTTTATTTTTCTGTAAAAGAGGGTACAGTTTAAGGTAGCTCCTTCCAGTGTGATTATTTCCTTTCCAAAGACAAGACAGAAAGAGCTGCTTTGTGGCCTGGAACACTTATGCTGTAGCAAGCTTGATCACCTGAGTAAAAGTACTGCTAATGTTTTCGTTTTGTCCCAGGCCACTTGCATGTTTTGTGAGTTCTATGTATGTTTTCAGCCCTTGGGTCTTTCTGCTTTTCTGTAAGTTTAAAGTAAAACTGAACATTATGTCTGTCAACTTGAAAAGTCAAATATTTTGAGTTATTTGCAAATACTTGGCGTGTTATATGATGAGGGTCTTAGTGACCCATTTCTTGCTTGTCTGTGCAAAATGTTATGTTGCGTATCATTATATACTTCTCAAAGTTACACTACTGGTTTTAGCATTACGTTGCTCATTTTAAATCATTCATTGGAAATGAAGGCTCCTTTTTAAAATACCTTGTGAATAATACTGTAGGCTTGAGGTTCTGCCGTCATTGTCTTGCAGTGATAGTAACGTGGCATTGTGCTGTGACAACTGTGTTACATGATTGTAGTTTCTGAAAATTTTAGTAAGATGTGAGTTGCAACTTTATTACAAAAGTTGCAGAGCTTTTTGTTTCTAAGACATTCTCCATTAGGGATGTGCAAGGGCTTCAGGTACAGTGCAGAAGTGGTGGGTTTCAACAGCTGCCTCTCTTCCAGCTCTGTAGTACTGTCATGATAGACTTTCAAATGCTTAAATTGAACATAGCTTCTACAAGCTAGGTATGTTATAAAGCTGAGTCTTCTATGAAGTTTATTGTTCAATACAGGCTGTGAAACATGACACTCCAGTTCTGGAATTTCTCATTTACTGCTCATTTGCTCCTAGTTTTTCTTGTCCTGTTTGATTGCAGTATAAATCACTCCATAACATTCTGTCCTTCTGTTAGAAGTCAGACTGGATTTTCCTTGGTTTGGAAGACTTTTCAGTGTGTGATAGCTCAGGTGATGCTTGGCTACGTGTTTTGCTCTCGGCGAAACAGTGGTTTCCAAAACTTCCTAGAAAGACAGCTCCTGTAGTAGCTACTATTAGGTACCATCTGAATTTGAGCACCTGATACCTACTGTAGATTATTCTGAATGTGGACAGAATAATGTACCTCTTAGCTGTGGCTTTTAGCTGTATGTTGCCTAGAGTATGTACTTAAGACTAAGCTTTCTGTTGAATAGGATATATTAAGATCTCTCCTATTTCAGTTCTTTTAATAGCAACTTCCCTAGCTTTCTTGTTATGTTTGTAGTTCAGCAAATATCTTTGAAGAACTGAAATTGCATACTTTAGCTCTAATAGAGGGACGCAGAAATAGGGGCAGCTGAAATGACAGGTCATGTGGGTTCTTTACATCTCGGTAGTCAGCAGGCAAAGGCAATTTTCACATGCACAGGGTCTTTCTACTTTGTGTTCCTTGTTTTCATATGACAGAAGTAGTTCCACTGTTTAAGTCTTACACTTTTTCCACAGCTGTTTGTTTCCTGATGTTAGGAATTTTGTATGTATGTGCCACTTCCTTCATTGTTTTGAAGTATAAATCAGTGTTCACGTTCTTCAGGTTTGATGTTTGAATATAGAACTTCATAAATCTAAATACTCTTCAAGACTGCTAGGGCCTGAACAAACTCAGTACATGTAAAATCAGACTGAATTCTTGGGTTTGAATCTTGTGAATAAATTTCAAGGTCACAATTTTTTTAACCTGAGATCTGGTAGTGCAATACAATTGAGGAAGAAAGCCTTCTTGACCTGTCTGTGTGTATTAGGATATTGGTAGATGATAGCATGCATTTTAAGTATAAGACCCACAGCATACGTGAAGATGTAGGCTCTGCTGTCTGTTAACATCTAGAGTTTGGGCATCACTGTGGAATTTTGTCCAGTATTTCAGGAGGGATCCTGTGTTTTGACAGATGGTTTGGGATTTGGTTTTTTTTCTAACTGGGTCAGAATAAAGTCTGGTGCACTTCCTTTGAAATGCTACCTACTGGATACAGTATGTGTACCTGTCAATAACAAAGAAGGATGATGGACAAATGTGACTGTTTTGAAGCAGCTGACAGGATAATTGTCAATCGAAAAACAGTCTTTATCATGCTAAAATGTAATTTAATTAAATCAATGGAAGAGAAAACAAATGTTCAGTTCGCTTTTGAAAGAACAGATACTACTGTCCTATCATGCCTCTGATAACTGGAGCACTAAAGAAAAATAGATAGGCAGAACTCCAACATAGTTAAGTTAACAGCAATAGCTGAAGTTCCTTGACAGCTCTGGAGATGAGATAAAGAGGTTCTCTGAAGTACCACATCTAGGGTGATATTTCATCCTGCAGCATGGAAGATAACTGTTACCTTGTGTGAATGACACCCTTCCTCTCTGGCTTGTAGGAATATAATCCTTTCTCCATGGGGATGCGGGGGGGGAAGGGAAAAAGGAGGCAAACCCAAAACAATAATAATAAAAAAAAAAAAATCCCAACCCACAGAAAAAGCCCCAAACAAACAAGAAACAAAAACAAAAACCCCACAAACAAAAAAATACCACACAAAAAAGCCCCCAAGAACCTAAACCAACTCTGTTTAACTATTACAAGAAAATTCTGGATTTTCTGGGGGTTGTAAAATGCTGTATCCATCCCATGCGGGTCTTCTACAACTGAATTTAACTGTATTAAAGCCCAGGTCAACTACACTCTTCTCTCAACATCTAGTAGTGTTTTTATTTCAGTATATTTCCTGTTTACTGAAGAACCTGCTCTTGTGTGAAAATGCATAACTGCAACATTTTCAACTAAATGTTTTATCTGTTTGCTCTTGGCTTTGATAAGAGGAGTTAGTACGTAATAAAGTACAGTGATTTGTGGCTTAATATGAATAAATCTGTTCTTGAGAAATTTGGTTACCTACATTTGACGCAAGTCTTCAACCATTTCTGGTGCATCAGATCCACATCTAAAGATCTTTTGGGCTGTCTAATAACCCGTTTTGGTGATACTCAGGAATCCCTTTAGCAGTAATAGAGTAGTAATTCAAGATGTGTAGAAAGCTACACTACAATTTCTTAGCTGTTCATTTTGAAGTCTGTGCAAGAGCCATTTCTATCACAGACATATTCTAGTCACAGTGATAAAGAGCTTGAAAGCACATGCTTTTAAGCTGCTGCTCTTCTTTGAATCTGGAACGATAGAGTCATCTCCAGTTTAAGATAATAAAGTAAAGGACATTATGATTTAAATACAGAGTGACTTCCTTTTCTCGAATGTGCTCGCTAGTCCCCAAGGTGCGTTTATGAAAGTCCTAAAAATTTTCCTGTTGGTGACTTGTTGCAAATTCATGCTACTGCTTTCCTGTTTCATCTCCACCTTTTTACCCTCATCTTGGAAGTCTTGCTCTTGAGACCTGTTTAAGAAAAGAAATGGCTGGTAAGGTGCTTAGTTCATTATGGTGTAGCTTAGACGGTTGTCCCACAAGAGCATCTGCTTATGCCCTTATTGTGAGGAGAATATTTTGTATGCTCCACACCAGTATAATTTTTCAAATAATCAGTATTGAAATCTGAATAGGTTTGTCTCTTAAACTTGCTTTTTTTGGGGGAGTGGGAGAGTGGTTACAGATGTGCAATGAAGCTGAAGAGATACCTGTTAATTATGGTATTTTGAATTTTGCTGTGTAGGTACAGCATTACTTTTAACTTGTCTGTTTCTTCCTTAGCCTCCACTTGTGGTCCCAGTTCTGGTATACATTTTAATGCTTATTCGTGTGCTAGCATTAGTTTTGTGCCTTACTGATTTCTGTGGCCATTTTTTTTCCTCCATACATAGAAAGCTCCATCCGAGTTGCAAAACTTTCTCGTAATTTACCCTGACTTTGAAACATTTTTGAGAAAAAGCAGAATTAATCTTTATTTTTGTATGCTGGACTGCCCTGGGCACACTTGCTCTACTAGTATAATGTTCCATTAAGTTGGTAGTGGATTAGTTTTGTGCTGGTGGTATGCTCTGGCTGAAGTCATCTCTGCAAGCACCTGAGATCTTTATAAACAGGACACTAAGGTTATTAGAAATTGGATCAGGCAAAGCTCAGTGATGTAGCTGGAATTCATAAACAGCTTGCAGAATGTTGATCCTCTGGGCCTAAAGTCTCTGCAAGTAACCTCCCCATTCTTTCTATCCTTGGGTTAAAACCATGTGCTGAATAAACCTAGCTATTAACAATCAGCACATAATTTCCTCAAGCCCACACCTTTTCAGGTCCAGGTCCATGACTAGGCTATCCCAGATCACCTTCTCCAGCATGGTGTGGTGTCCCAGCATACAATATGCTGGTGACATTTCACCTCCCTTGATCTGCTGGAGTCAACCTACATGAGTAAGGTAAGTCCATTTATTTTTCAATGTTGCTTAGTTCTGTAAAGTTTTTATTGTATACCCTATGTATAAATTTTAACCAAGGGCAAAAAACTTTACAAAACCATGTGCTATTGAAAAAGGACTTAAACTATAGGGAGGTCAGAGGTAAATGCAGTGTCACCAGCATATTTAGAAAGCTATTCATTCCCAGTGAAAACCAGGTAGTTGTTACAGGTATTGGTGACTTGGACTCTGTGTATATTCTAATAAGCTCCCCAAATAACTAAAAATGTTCTTATGGTAGGTTCCATATTAGATTTGGAGGTCACCTTTTCTAATTTCTAGTTGGTAAATTGTATTTTTAATTTTTTTCCCTTGGATATTTACATAAGGAGTGAGTTTGTCTATGCCACATCTGCAGGCAATGAATTGTCTCTTGGTTAGTGTTTGTCTATGACATGCTGGGTCTTCCACATGACTGAATTTCTTGTACATGACACATGTTTTGTTCTGGTGACATACAGAAGAGTGTTCACGTATTTTGAACATGCTTGCAAGATTTTATGTTAAAAGGTCAGCAGTAAGGAGGACAGACTTGTAGTGGCATCTGTCCAAAAGTGAGACTTCTAACACTTGTAGTGTAACATCTTGAATGTCAAACTTTTCCAATGTAGGGATTGCAAAGGAGAAGCATTCGCATCATTTTGGAACATCATTTTTCTTGTTGAGGTTTTTAATCTTATGTTTAAACTCCTGAGTCTATTCATCTCAAGTCTTCAAAGGAAGACTTCCTTCAAGCCTTGGAAGTTGTTTTACTAGGTTATCCCTTTCCACTTCTGTTGCTGCTTTGTTGGCCCTTCTCAAAGCATGCAACTACCTTATCTGTATCTGAAGAGCTCCTTTATTCGTCGTCTTGTGGTGCAGGCTGTTGCAACTCCTACAAGTAGAAGACTTCAGAGAAATTAGTTTTAGAACTTCAGAATGTATTTCATAGGATTGTGCAACTTCGAAAGCATTACTGTTGTTTGTAACTTCCATTTTTCTTCTTACATCTGTTCTATCCTCTGTATTTCATTTCAGATTTCTGCAAGCTTTTGATCATGGGTGTAGAGCATTTAGGGTTACAAAACCTCCATCCTTGTAGAGCGTTCTTTGACAGCTATTACTGCAATACAGATGCAATACAAGATCCACCTAAGTGTCACCCTATTTCTTAGTCAGATGGGCAGTAAATTGCCCCAGACATGGAAGAAATGAAAATTCTTCAGGCAGTTAAAACTGAATGGTTAACCTGTAGCTCTAAAAGTTTGCTCCAGATGTTAAGACTACCTGTATTTTCATGGAGATGTAATGCAAATACTTTCTCTTCAACTATATGGTATTTTTTTTTAAATATCCTGAGTTTCTTCCACGTACTGTGGCCTGGACGTAAGAGAGTGCATTATCGTTTTAAATGTAGAAGTTGTAAATCCAAAAAGGTCAGTTATGTATGGTACCTTTTCTTCAGCACGGCAGAAGACTGGGAAACTTAATTTGCTTGAAGCTTTTTCATACATGAAGGCAAGTATTCTTTTGAGCAAAACCCCAAAGGTATTAATGTCTACAGCTGACACGTGTTAACTAGATGGTATTATGACTGTCAATAAATGCTATTAAATTTGTTTTTCTTTGTAGCATTTCATCTAGATAGAAGAAATTCACCACCAAACAGCTTGACACCATGTCTAAAGATTCGCAATATGTTTGATCCAGTTATGTAAGTAAATCCAATTATCTATTTGTATTTCTGTATTCATTTTGAAGGGTTTGTGTCTATTCTGAGAGGGGTTTGGAAGAAGCAAGTAAACATATGCTAAAAGCAGCAAATAGGTTGTAAAAAAAAAAACCAACAAAAACAACCAAAAACAAAACAAACCCAAACAAATCTTCCTCCTAATATCTATGAAGTGTCTTTCATCTTTTCATCCTTCTTTGTCTTTCTTTGTGTCTTTGGATTACTTCTTGAAGTCTGGCATTTAGTCAAACCGCTTGGAGCAACAACTGATCTTTCTCCATTAGTTAACTTTGTAAATGTTCAGTTATACCATCTGACAGGGGAAATGCATGTGGCCTCACAACAGACTATAAGTTTCTGAAGTATCACTAAGTATTCTGGAGTATTTGGACTGTCAGATGAGCTTACAAAGTTCGCATTTAAAAGACTGAATTTAAATAATTTATTACTTTATGCAGTGTGGCTGCCTGGTTTTGAAGCAAATGGATTTTTGTAGTGGGAAAGTTTAAAAAAAAAACCACAAACCAAACGAGTGCAGAGTACTGGCTTCTAATGCTCAGCTGTAATTTGGAAGTATATACCGTGTATGACGCCTTGTTTCACGTGCCAAGGGTTAAAGAGGAATAATTTTTTGTAGTCTTCTAAAGATTTATCCACTCACTATCCTGTAATATCCCTATTGGCTGTGGACTAGGTCATGTTAGGAGTTAGGGACTAACACATAGGTTGTGCCAGCTAATAATTTCTAATCTTTAAAGTGCGGTTTGTCCAGTGCAAGGAGATAGAGGGACTCAACTCCTCTGAAATAATTTTCTTCCCTGATAGAATTATATAAGGGGAAAATGAAGTTGCGTTACTGTCTTACAAAGTAAAAGTGAGAAGCTGATTGGGATTGAAGAATATGCGAAGTTGAGTGGAAAATAAAAGTTACTGCTAAGAATAGGGAGCAACAGGAATAGGGAGGGGACACAAGTGATTGCAAAGTTCGCATGGATTTCTTCAGCACTTACACTTCTGTTTCTAGCCACACTTAATTACTTTAGTTCCTTGCCTTATTAACTGGAAAGTTGATGGCTAATTTAGCTGAGGACTGTGTTATCCCTAGCACAGAGATGTACACTAAAAACTTTTTGTCAATGGCTTTAAGACTTAATGCCTGTCGTGGGCAGAGACCCCAACTGTGGCTTCTTTCGTAACTTCCAGGTTGCACTAGGGTGAGCAAGACTGAAATTTTAGGCACTGTACTGGAATCAAACTGACCCTTCTGTAGGAGGACGAAATAAAAGATGAGATTTGCTGAGAATTCTGGGTGAGATTAATGTCCTTACTGTCCTTGTTACAAAGGAGACTTCATGAGCTATATTGGTTAGTCTGAGTAGTACTGGAATAAATCCATTCCTGACACTTCACTGTAATACTTACTGGCATGCTGGATTGGTTACCTTCTTGTTTCAAAATGTGAGCTGTTCACAATGTCTGTTGTTAATGGAACTACTAACTGAGATGTTATTTTTGTCAGGGCAGTCTCACTTTACAGGCTTTATCTTTGCTGTGAACTTCAGTGTTTTTCAGTACTGATGTAGTTACGCTCAGCAAGTGCATTAAAAAAAGAAACATTATAGACTAGGATTTGTTCTCTTTTGACACTTCTCTGTAGTGTCTATGTCCAGTTAGCTGTTTTGAAGCTTCTACTATCACTTTTTGTAGACCTTTTCTTTTGGAACTTGATCTAGCTCCATTATTGGACTGCTGAATTGTAGTGGGATACATCATCCAATTTCATATTGCACACACTAGCCCATTCCTCTTGCATGAGCTGTTTTGTAGAAGATTGCTGCTTAAGGAAGTACTTTTTATCACACTCTTGGAGTAATCTTTAAAAAAAAAAACAAACGTAACCCCTAACTAAATGAATACAAAACCCCACCACCCAAAACCCTCAGTGCAAGACAGACTACTTTATTCGATTGCTTGTGTCAGAAAGGAAGGAGGTTTATGTTCTTGTCCCAGATCTGGAAGGAATGAATGCCATCACTGACGACCTGAAACGCGGAATATGCCAGTGTATGTGATTAGATTGGCAAGTACCATTTTGACATTTGCCACAGGGGCAAGCTGTGTTTAACAAAATCAGTTTTTAGCTGCTACTTAAGTCAAGCTATTGTATACTAACAGTAAATGACTAAGTACTTTTCAACAATATGCCAATAGCTGGTAAAAGCAGACATAGGTCTCTTCTCTTGACCTGAGAATCGTCTGGGGAATATACCACTTAATTTGTATTTATCAATGCTAACAGAGTAAATTATCTTTCTGCTGCCAGCAGTCAGAAAATTTACCTGGCAATTACGAACCCTCAGGCCACAGCAGCAGACTTAAGTTTGAGTGTATGTTCTAGGCATTTACTATGCCACACACAAACCTGTTTTTTACAAGTCTAAGCACCATTTGGATAAGCCCATTTTAGTGTTTCTGCATCTACCACTTAAGTTTTTACTAAAGAATGGTTCATAAAGCATGGGTAGCATTCTTGCAAGACTCATTGACAGCTAATGGAGCATACATGTACAGGATCAGGGAAGGGCAAGTCATCGTCGTTGGGAGCCTATTTCATTATGGGAAATCCCAGTTAGGTGATAACTCAGGTTTCATGCCCCAGGTCTGCAAAACACCCAGAAGCAGACTAGACTGAGAATGCCCTTCTGCTTGATTTGCAAACAGGAAATGAGCACTTTGGCAATGCAGTGACTTCAGTGTTTTGGAAGAATACACAGCAAAGACAATTGCCCACTCTTAATATAATCTCTTCTTACTGTAGCTGGCTTGCTGCTGATGACAGCATGCTTCTCAAGAAAATATGGACATGAGTCCTGGACTGGGAGGGAATCATAGAATAGTTTGGGTTGGAGGGGACCTTTAAAGGTCCTAGGTTTTGCAACTTGGAATGACTTCAGTTCCATAACATCCTGTGCATAGCGTGTTATTTAGAAAATACTGTTGTTTACACAGTTAGAGAAGGGGAAGAAGACTTGTATAATCCCTTCATTTTAAGATACCTAGTAAAAAGAAAACACTTTTTTCTTCCAACCTGAGTAGGAATCATCTTCTGACTTCTGTACGGTTTTAAACTGTGTTTCCCACTGGAAAGTTTCTCTCCCACTGGGACCTTCATTTGGATCTTCTTTGCACCCTTTTGTCCCTTTTCCACGTTTTGCTTGTTATACATGATCTGCTTTTATAAGGGGCATCAACTGGAAAGTCTGATCCTCTGACCAGTCAAAGTCAAATGGCAGAAACAAATCCAACATTCCTTATTGCCAGAGTCCCTCACGTGTTGTGTTAGTGTCCTGCTTGACAGATTCAAGTAACATCCCATACTAATTAACCTCCCTATATACATTCCATCCCCCACCACATTCTTTTTCATGAATAAGGAGGAAAGAAGATTAAATATTCAGGAATTTTTGGCGTTCTGTAGAGAAAATTCTTTAAAACTACACAAAGCTCTTGATAGTATTACTGAAAGAATAAGTTTGTTGTTTTTTGTGTAAAGACTGTTCAGGCAGGCTTAAAGGTGTATTGAGGCTGTTGAAATTGTTTTTCTCTGCTTAGATTTATAAGGGCCAGATAATTCCTGCAGTACTTTCACAAAAATACACTGACTTGTGTCTTTTGTAATGAGGTACCTGAAGATTGATCAGTCTTGACAATTTTTTTTTTTTTAATTTTTTTTTTTTTTTTTTCAGTGAAAAGCCCCAAAAATCGGCATCTGGTTTTAATAACTTCTATTTCTGGATTGTCTAGTTTGACATATTCTGCCAGTACCCTATGGGGCAAATGCACTTTGGTGCTTTGTTCGGGATAGTGAATAGCTGTTTCAGTGATGAACAGTGCCTGAATAGCTAAAAAGCTCCTTCAGCCCGCGGAAGCTTGACACATCATGTTGCTTCTGTGACTGCTGGTAAAGGTGATACAGTAAAGGGGCAGAGGCCTTTATGCCGTTGCCTTCCTCTGCTCTTCTTCCACTGCAGTAGGAACAGCCTAGGAGTGGCCTTCTCCTTGGAACAAGAAACCTGTCCAGGCAGGCTGTGGGAAGATGAGTTTAAGACTGCTTGCAATTTCAGACAGGAAGGTGATAGCAGGCTGCTGGAAGGGAAGGACAACCTCCCTGCCAAAATACAGATTACTCCTTTTGATTCTTGGGGTTGAATTTTCTGAAAGTGGTCTGTAGGACCCAGTGTACTGAATATTCAATAGCTAAAGTACTAAATCCGTCCCAAAGGCATTTAACAGAAAATTATACAGGTTATAGAGAAACCAAACTTGGTGGGGAAGGCTGAGGTTGTTGTGAATGTTTAAAACCAGATGTGCTTAATTAAACCTTTCATTGTTTGCATAGGGAAATAGGCGATCAGTGGCATCTAGCAATTCAAGAAGCAATCTTGGAGAAATGCAGTGATAATGATGGAATTGTTCATATTGCTGTTGACAAAAATTCACGTGAGGTTAGTGTCTTCTGAGTACAGTTTAATGCTTTGTTTATCTCCCTGTCTGTTGGACTTCAAAAAACCCAGCCTCCTCTCTTTCTTAATGCAGGGTTGTGTATATGTCAAGTGTCTCTCTCCAGAATACGCTGGAAAGGCTTTCAAGGCATTACATGGTTCTTGGTTTGATGGTAAGGATTGGGGGTTTGTAACAAAACATGGGTGGGAATGACAGAAGATGGGTGCAGTTGAAATTCTTTTAAATGGTGAAATGTTTTATATCTAAGGTATTGAGCTGTAACAAAACCTGGATCTTTTTAGTAGTTATCACCTAGTAAACTAATTTCAGTGTAATGATGTGTTTGTGTGTTATTATATATATGGGTTCAAACTTAAACACGGGAAGTTTAGATTAGATATAAGGAAGAAGTTCTTCCCAGTGAGGGTGGTGAGGCACTGGAATGGGTTGCCCAAGGAAGCTGTGAATGCTCCATCCCTGGTGGTGTTCAAGGCCAGGCTGGACAGAGCCCTGGGCGACATGATTTAGTGTGTGGTGTCCCTGCCCATGGCAGGGGGGTTGGAACTAGATGATCTTAAGGTCCTTTCCAACCCTAACTATTCTATGGTTCTGTTAACGTCCTGTAGCAATGTGTAATAATACTGAACTGGAAGGTTTCTCTTTTCCTATTTCTTTGCCTCGTAGGAAAGCTGGTAACGGTAAAATACCTGCGACTAGATCGGTATCATCATCGTTTTCCCCAGGCTCTTACTTGTAACACTCCACTGAAGCCATCAAACAAACACATGAACTCTATGTCACATCTGCGTCTTCGGACAGGCACAACTAATTCTCAGGGAGGTTCCTGAGAAGACTTTCTACAACTTCTAGGACTGTTACTTGCAACAGGAATTTTCCTGTTTGGCTGCCGTCTTCCTTTTTTAGTGCTTTTTGTATGTAATACTTTAAGGAACTAAATAAAAGTTTGAACGTTCCAGAAGTCTTGTTTCCAAAGGGACTTAGCAATGAGGCAGTAATACTGAGCTGACAAAAAGAAAAAGAATTGCTTCAGGACGTTTTCTGGGGCTATAGTAAACCAATGCATTTAAGTTTTGCATGAGGAATACTGACTTCATTATACATTTGCAGATGTGGTGACTGTATTTTTGCACCAAGAAGTGTTTTTGATAATACAACAGCATGGAGAAAAGACGACTTCCTGTATTTCCATAGTTTCCTGTGAAATAATCTTGTGGGTATTTTGTAACAACCAACCTACAGTTCCTGATGGTGAATACGTTAAATTTTCTTTTTCAGTCAATATTAGGGGTTTTTTTGTTGCTGTATAAGAATCTTTTTCTGCAGCTAAGGGATGGGGAAAGTTAATCTGGCATTAGTGGTTGCATATAAGTGTGAGGGAAGACGAACCGAACGCGGATGTACTAGGTTTTGTATATAAATGAAAATGCTGGTGGTGGCAAAAATGGTTGTGTTCTGTGAGGATGTCTGCATTGAAGCAGTGAATAAGCTTCCTATTTTATTCAAAACCTAATGTTTTACATGGTTTTGGCTGTATCATGACAAGAGGCCAAATACCTTAAAGTGTTAGATACAGGTTAAATATCTTTTATAGGTTTTATATTAAAATACCTGACTATGATTTTGTGTGAAAGGTCTGATACCAATTGTAATGAATTCAAATTTGTGAGCAATAAAGAAGCAATTGGCAGATACTGGAAAAATATTTTGTGGAAAGCTGTATTTATTATTACAATTGCCAGGGCTGTGACAAAATACCATTGGGAATAAGTGACTTTCCCAATACATGATATCTTGTTTTAATGAACCAGTTACCTATTCAAATTTCAAAAGGTACATACTTCCTTGCAACAATTTTGGCTGATGCAAACTAGAATTCTGGCTGACAGTAAATCTTGTGATTCCAAGCTTGTAGATTTACTAACACTGACCTAGAAGTACAAAATTGTTGCTGAGAAGCATAGTTGCAAATCTAAGATTATTGGCTTTACTAATCCCCACTCCTACAACTGTTTTACCTAATTATCCAGCTGAATATCCTGTAGGAGGTGAGACTGGAAGCACACCAGTCCCACAGACTTTACTGAAACTCACTTTACTTTGTAGATATGATGGATTTGCAGCATGAACTTGCACAAATAATGCACGTTTTTCTTATGGTTAAGTAAACATGATGCACACTATTCTGCAACAGAAAATCCTCTTGTGCCTTACCTTTGTGCTTTTGTGGGCACCATGTTTATTATTGGAGAATTTGTTAACTGAAAAAAGATTTTAAATCCTATCCTCAGTTTTATGTCTCAGATGCTAATGAATGAGTATATATAATATATAATCAGCCATGCAGAATTCTACTTACCAAGGACAAGTACATATTTTTGATGGGTAAGTAGATTGTGCCAGGACTGGTAGATTTTGATGAGTTTTACTATATACATATATGTATAATATACATGTATATGTATTATATATGTATATAAACTAATTTTGTTGTATTTGATGTGCATCATAGTGATCTGTTAACCTGACCTTAGTGACCCCATCTTGTGACCTGTTGCAAGAGTGAATGTAAAAATAGTTGTGGCATTTTAAAAGGTCGCCTCGATGCAAATGCATCTATCTCGCTTCTTAAAATATATTTCTTGTAAACACTGTACATTTTATTATTGTAATATGTACTATTATGCAGCTTATTTTACCTTAAACTGTTAAGTTGACCAATCTCCCTTCCTGCAAGACAGAGGGGAATGTGTATAATAACTGAACATTTGAGGAAATTCAGATGTTTGTTGTAACTTGTTACCCTGTCCTGTAAAAACAAACAAAAAAACAAACCAAACTCGAATTAAAGGTTTATTAGGGGTTTTTATATGTGTCTCACCTTCTAGATACATCAGTGTCTCTCTGCCTTGGGTACTTTTTTCATCTGGGGGTCAGGGGAGGGCATGAATTCATTGCAAACACGTGATTTTTAATGTTTGTTAGGACATGAAGCTGAACAGGTGCTACTGCGAGCTGAACTCGCCACTTAACTTCATTTAAAATGCCTGTCAGCTTGAAATTTGTCCGGATTTTGTATATATGGAGTGCAGAGGTATTACCTTGATCTTGAAGTCCAGCAGTGGGGCCACGCCATCAGGACCCCGTAAATGACCGAAGGGGGAAGAGTCTTAGTGTTGTGTTTTCAGTTTATTTCTTGTATTTTGAAATAGAAGAAGTCCTCAAGCAAATTTTGACAGACGAGCAAAAAACAGCCTTTTTTCTGTCATTTCGTTTATACTATGCTGTTCTAAACTTGTATTGAAAGGTTGCGGGATAGGAAGACCCAAGAAGGGCGCTTTAAGTTCATGATTTATATGCGTTTGCCCAGCTCATCTTTAGCTCGCTCTGTGGCAGGGGAGGAATTTCGCTGTAGTTTACCCCTCGCCCCGCTTTCTTTTCCTTGTCCCGTACAGAAGGTGGTCAGTAATGCCTGTGTCCATGCCCCTGCCCGACAGCTTCGAGC